AAAACATTGTTAAAAACTTGCCATAGACACACCCAGTTCTCATGTGACATCGAATTTTTAAAAAATAGCGAACCCGGTCATAATCTACATGGTTAAACATTTGATAATATCAAGTGCTGCAAAACTGGATGTGCAGGTGGTGTAACAGATAACGACTAGGATTTCTAAATCGGAGAAGCGAGTTCAAATTCCAGTCAGGTTTTTTATATTTCCTTACGCACAATACCCTTTGGAAAGATATAAATCCATCTCTTTCAAAACAACCCAAGCTATAGATTAATTAATCGAGATGGTACCAGTAAATTATTATTATCTCAGTAAAATTCATACAATCTAAAAATATTTTCTGACTTTAAATAACTGGGAAACAGGTTGATAAGGCATCTGCTCTGACGAGCTATTTTCACTGTTGCCCCGACTGCATGTATTTAAGTGTGCTACTAGACTGGCATCTTGGTCCCACACTTTTACTGTTGAAACAGTTAAATGTAACCGCCTTTTCTACTCCAACAGCTTCTTCTTTCGGACTTCTCGACCCTAACCAGGAAACAAGGAATAAACCTCTACTTCTGTTCAGAAGACCCAATAGAAATATGAATGACCTATCAAACTAATGTTTAAATGGCTATCTCGTTCACCTTAATGATACTTCAATGACACTAACAATACAAGGTTGTCCAGTTCTTTGAGGACATTTCCATAAATTTAGTAAAAGACGCACAAGCCATGAAAGAATAGGTATATTTGAGAAATATTTGGGATGAATAATCTTTAAACTTTTCTTGAGGAATCTACTTAAAGAATCTGTTATTAGCATTCATAACTGCTTTTGACATGCCCGAATCAGATGAACTTTATCCATTTTGGACATTGTGGTAGTTATGGCGGGCTTCAAATATATCATAGGGATATGGGAGCATTGATTAATTTCCCTCTCGATTACGTCCTATAATTAATAGTCCAATAGGGCTGTTCGATTTTGGAACTGTAGCATTACACTCAATTTGAATGTTGGAGGTTGACATGATAAATAATGACACAATATATATATTTTTCCAAATCGTTACCGTTTTGAGAGGATACGTGTTTAAATATTAAGTTTATGTTCAAAATCATAGCTTTGGAATTTCATTCCGCTAAACAGTGAAAGCTTAATTTATAATTTGCTGAAGTTATGCAAACTCTATATGGACAACATACAAAGCACACAGATATTATTGCTTAATCATTGTGCCATCAAATAAGACCCTCATTTACTTCAATTAGAAATTATATTGAACAATTTAGTTATATTATGATGTAATATGATATTCAGTGCAGTATTTTTAGTGCAGTCTTCAATAAACAATGCAAATTTTAAACATTTTATTTTGTATGTATTCAGTAGTATTATGGTGTTTCTTTTTTTTACATTTTATCTAGTTTTTTTGTTTTTACTAATTAAGATCTAACAAATAATCTAACAAATCATATACATTAATGTATAGACTTTCTTTAATCTTTTGCAGTTTTCTTTTTTTACAGTTTTTACATATCAGGTACAGTAAAAAGACTGCATATTTTGCTTGTGGTGATTCATAATTACAATTCTGGTTTGAATATATTTTCCATTCAATGTATCTAATAAAAAATATCAACTTTATTTGGATTTATTCTTGAAATAGTAAAAATTTGAAGTCAGTTTGTAAGAAAAACCTGCGAAAATTATGTATTTCTGTACTTTTCTAGCAGATGATCTTTCAAACGAAATGCTCCAAAAAGTTTTGAAAGCTCTGAATCTAATTTTGGGTGTCAGTACTTAGCACATCAAATCCCAGCTTTCAAACCAAGTGCAAATCTGATTTTCCAAAAATATTAAAAAATCAACCTGCCCTAATAGATTCAAATCTAGAGAGCAAGGAGTCGGTATGTTTTAACTGATGTGACCGTGGAGATTGTAACACAGATCGTCTTGGATTTTGTGATATGACACAGTCTTGTTCGTTGGTGTACGTTCTTCCTTTGTTCATGTTCTCTATCTAGGGCCTCAAAATCCTATCCAATACCAGCTTATAGTCAGCAGCATTGACCATTAAGTCCTAAAAAAAAGATAAAGATGTTAGGAGGCATGCCATCTCCCTAATTTCTCCCGGCTCGGAAAACCGTCGCAGTTGCCGGAAAGACTATGTTCGTGACCGATGAAATAAAATTATGCCATAACTTTGGTTGAGTCTTTGATCCTGATTAAACTTTTTTTTTTTTTCATCGACGAAAAAAACTAAAACATTTCTTGTTCTTGATTTCTTAACTTGCGGACCAAGCGTTTTGCACGGAGCAGACGGTTATCATATTGCTTTACAGTCCGCTCCGCATCCCATATGACTTGTCAGAAAGATAGAGCGTGTTGAAACTTTGAGTTTCTTAGCAATGGCGTTAACTTTCTGTTGTACTCATAGAGTATTTTTTGCATCTTTCTCATAAATTCGGGATCTGATGATATTAAGACCCTTAGCAGGCGTTTTGCGTTTGACTACGTTTGGCAGAATGCACATTAACGGATTTAAGATCCCTGAGAACGTTTTTACATGAGAAGACCGCGCAAAGTTCAGTTAGAGAGCAATGTCCAAATTCCCATGCTCTGCCTTTAAGGTAATTATCGCATTGTACTTTTTTATTTGCGGAAATAGCTTGAAGTTTGTTATCATTTCTAAAAAAAATATACAAGTTAGAAAAAATTTAAGGCTACTAAAATACGAGTCCTCAAAGAATTGATCAATCCTGTATATATATATATATATATATATATATATATATATATATATATATATATATATATATATATATATATATATATATATATATATATATATATATATATATATAATAAGTAATACTCGTTTGGTAACAAACCTCAGATAGCTAAACTTGTGCATATGTCAAAACAAATCGGTAACCGAGGAAAAAATTGTAAATTGAAAATAAAAACATATCGAAAAGATCGAAATAAATCGACCATTTTAGGTGAAATCTAGGTAAGTTTCTTTGGCTCTTTTAGGATATATATATATATATATATATATATATATATATATATATATATATATATATATATATATATATATATATATGCCATACTCAATGGGTGCCACATACTTTCGGCCTTGTACTACATCTACGCTACGCTTGGAAAATCACACACACACACACACACACACACACACACACACACACACACACATATATATATATATATATATATATATATATATATATATATATATATATATATATGCCAGTACTCAATGAGTGCCACATACTATCGGCCTTGTACTACATCTACGCTACGCTTGAAAAATCACTGCACACACAGACACACACACACACATATATATATATATATATATATATATATATATATATATATATATATATATATATATATATATATATATATATATATATATATATATACTGCCAGTACTCAATGGGTGCCACATACTTTCGGCCTTGTACTACATCTACGCTACGCTTGGAAAATCACTACACACACACACACACACACACACACACACACACACACACACACACACACATACATATATATATATATATATATATATATATATATATACCTAGTGAAATTACCGCATGAAGATGATGTTTGATTCAGTGATTAGCGTAAGAGATTAAAGGAACTTAATTCTAGGATCCCATCCCAGGAGCCACTTTGTGAACTCACCTCAAAAAAGGATATTTCTTTATTTCAAATTAGAACAGAATCCATCTTCGTTGCTGACAAAATTTTACTTGTAAAATCCGTTAGAGTGACATGATGAAATCTGTAAAAAAAAAACAGTAATGAGGTTAAATAGAAAATCCAACAACAACAATTATTTTTAAATCAATATAAATGTAGAAGACATATATAAAAAGACATATATTGCCCAATAGACTACTTTTTTTTAATAAGAGGATAAACCTCAATAGAATTATAAACAGTTAGAGACACGTATATAAATATGTATACAAGTTTGCTTGTTTTTTTTTATTTAATCCTATTATCGAACAAAATGACTCAATATAATAAGAAAAATATAATCCTCCCTTTTTTATATTTCATATTTGATTCAAGCGAGTTCGTATAAAGCGGTAAGAAAACTGAGACGAGTATGTATTTACGCTTATTGAGAAATACGTTAAAATATATTTCCGGAATGTACATATCTACGCAGTTAAATATATATATATATGTATATATGGAAAAAGAAACAGAAAGGAAGGCATAAAGTCTGCGAAGTCTTACCTACAAATATATTGCAATATTGCCAGGAGAACTGCGCCGTCCATCAAATGAAACATAGGAATATATTTGCATATAAAGAGACAATTACAAATATTTATAGTAGATAAAAGAAGCGAGCAGTAAAACACACAATCACACACAAACACGCAAAAGCGCATGAATGCACAAACATACGGGCACAGAAACACACACACACTCATATATATATATATATATATATATATATATATATATGTGTGTGTGTGTGTATATATATATATATATATATATATATATATATATATATATATATATATATATATATATATATATATATAATATATTCATTAATCTTCATTGAACAGATAAGAAATATACGGTGAGTCAAAATGTAGCACAATTTGTTTTATATAAAAAGTAAGGAACACCGTCAAACATGCCGTAAATTAAAATACAGCTATACATCATAGGTTCACATCCCTATTTCTCAACATAGTCAACATTTTTCCAATAGTAGTGTTTCATCTCCGAATGAGACCATGTAAAAATCAGCTGGCTGCTGATGTAGTCAATTTCTTACAGACGTTTTCATTTCTTCATAGCCGGCATAATATTTGTCTCTCAGTGTTTCTTTCATTGGACCAAAGAGAGTGAAATTTGAGGCTGCCAACGAAACATCACAAGCGGATCAGTCTTACAGGCAGGTGCAGGACATAATCGTTTTAAAGCCTGAAAGTTG